ATTTTTATTACTAAAGACACATGAATTATTTACTTTGGCTCCTTACTTTTATCAAATTAGTATTAAATTCCAATAGTATTTATTCTTCACTTAAACCTCCATGTTGACGAAAATAACAAGAAATACGTCAGTTATTTTTCATCAATGATGGCATTGATACCAGATGTTCTATTTATCTTTGATAGTGGAATCAGTTATATAAATGCATTACCTACCTACTTAATTTTCACTTTGCTGTATTATACTTCTGAAAACTGTCGCGAGGTGAACAAGAGTTGGGTCGTAAACATTGTCTAAGCTCGTATTAATCTATTAATTTTCTGTATTTGTTCAAAGACAGACATATATGAATATTTGTTTGTCAACATTTGGATAAACTACTCTAACTTCAGGTTGGTTCTGAGGTTTGAGTCCTCTTATAAAATAAAAATGCCCGGAACTAACGCAAAAAGTGGTCGTTTTGTGTAGGTTATTCATATTAACCGTAATATATCAACTGCCTTTTAGATAAATACTATCTTTCACCTTTTCAAAGTACTACATCTACTACTATACTGTACTCTAGCGCCTCTGCTGTTTACTCTATACACATATGACTAGCCCGAGACTATGTCCAGGAAATTATTATCAAAACAAAATATGCTAAACACAAAATATAAGGTTAACAACTACACAATAAGTATAAAAAACAATGAGAAAAAATACGAGTATGACAGGTTCTGTTAGGGATTTCGGAATAAGTACGTATCCGTATATAACCGTACAAAACGAACGTTAAAGAACTTTAGGAGAACAAAGGAAGCTTACAAATTACTATTGTCCTTGATTCTCACTACTAACAATGAAAATATAAAAAAAAAATGTTGATTATGTTGCTCAGTTATATACTGGAATGAGTTTTGAATGAAGTGTAGTACACGAATGTTAACCAATAGTGTTATTACTACCTACCACATTCTATTTGAACTCGACACTCAATAGCGGCATGTCATTAAGTTACCGCAACAATCGGCCAATCAGATTACGCAACCGAACAACAGTTTCTCTGTCTGCAGCGTAACCCACTTTTGATCAACAAACTATTGTTGTATTGATTCCACAGACAAACAGATATAACAACATGCCAACTATAACTTTATTAATAACTTTCCAATAGGGATGATGAATATTTTTTGTTTGTTTGTCCGTCAGGTAGAGTGTTAAAAAATATTAAACACGTATTTTTTTTTCGTAATCATAAAATTACGTCGTTACATTGAGTTGAAATTTCGCATGACGTCACGTTAGAGTACGTTTTCTACTCAACTGTGACGTAGCGAGCGCCCACTCCTCAACTTTAATGCCTGTTATCTATACTATTTCTTGTTAAATTGAAGTAAAAAAAAAATACGTGTCTAATATTTTTCTACTATATGATTGACGGACTAAATAGAATTGCATTTTTTTTACCCAGTCGTCATCCCTATTAAAAGTTTTTTTTTAATATTCTATAAATGCATTCATAGTTTAAATCTCAGCTCGAGCACTAAATATATTTTTTCTTTATTTTCGTGTTCTAATATTAATTAGACATTAACTAAGATTATAGTATTTAATTTATGTAATATTTAATCTAATTTAATCCATAAGTATTTTCCAGTATATTTTCTAACAAGGTTTAAAACATTTCATAACAAAGAATTAAATTAAAAAAGATACTTAGGTAATTTTGTTTGTTAGTGTTTCAAAGACATATAAATCATCTAGAATATCGATTTCGTCATTCGTTTCTTGTCTCGTTTTAGTATAAATACTAATTTCAGGCAAAGGAATCAAAATACTTCTTTTTCAGTTGGGTCAAGCGATTAAAAGATCATTTTATTTATTTCTGAAACGTGATTTTTCTATATTAAGTCTATGGTCGGAAAGTGTGCATGGAGCTTTAGGGCTAGTGATGTAACTCACCTTGCCGCAACCTTGAATGTTTTTTAAAGAGGAAACACTATTATCTCGATCATTTTTAATATCAAACCGCCTTGTGTGGTTAATGGTGTGAACTTATTTCTATTTTGGTTATTTTGACCCATCTTGTTGTCTTTGTTGAGGATAATATAAAGTGTAACGAATTAATGTTAAGACAACATGAGTGCATCAATAAAGAAATTAGAAAAAATAAACTTTGCACATAAGTTGTATAGTACTTGAATTTATTTCTAAATTGAGTAAATATGTAAGAATTGTTTCGCAAGACGACCATAATTTATTATTATATCAAGGCAGTTTTTGTTCAGAGCTTCATGATAATCTTTAAAATTGTTATATAATTATAATACTGAAATATTTTAACTTTAAAAATTTGGCAAGCGCGTCACGTTTCTCATACAAGATTATACCAAAAGTCAGCTTACCTTAAGCCACTGCATAATCAGTAGGCTCTGAAAGCGGCTACATAGTACCGGATTTCTTTATGATGTGGAACACGTTTTACACTTTGGAAAAAATTTAAATTGGCTAAATCGTACCGCCTTATTCTTATTAAAAATGCCTTTTGACTTTTATAGTTTCCTTTGTCTTCTTTCGCAATTATTTGTGAAAATGTTGCTGTTTTGGCACCAGCGTCTGAACGAATATTCCATGATATGATAAATTGGTTGGTAGTATATCTGCAACTTAATCTAGCAACTCCAATTCTTAATATTACTAACATATTTCGTCTAGATCGGGTGAAAAGAAATAAATGAAAACTTTTGACTAAGAAGGAGAGAGATATTTTGAGGAAACAGATGATCGAGATGCGAGATTGGAAAACATATATCGCTCCTTGCTTAAAGATTACGTCGACATCAAATAAAATGGAATGAGAACTGATTTGTTTACATTGTACTCATAGAAGAAAAAAAAGTTTAACAGTTGTTAGTAATGAAAATCGCAAGTATAATACGAGGGTCACACTGAAAGTTCTTAGAACTGGCCACTTATAAACAATATAATAAAAAAATAATTCTAAAATTTGAAAATATAATTCTTTGCCAATATTACTGAGTATATATTTCATTCATTTGTCATTTGTTTTACGATTTGGCGGCAAATTGAAAATTGTCTGTGTCACGTCATCATGAATTTAACACGAGAAAATTTTCGTGCAATGATTTTTTATGACTTTCGATGTCATTTAAGTCAACAAGAAAGTTATGATAGACTACAATTGGCCTTTCACGATGAAGCCCCATCTCGTGCGACTGTTTACAACTGGTTTAATGAGTTTAAACGTGGTCGCACTAATCTCACTGATGATTTACGTGAGGGACGGCCTTCTACGGCGACGACTGAAGATAACATCTGTGTTGTGCGGCGTATGATAGAGACTGACAAAAGAGTGACCTATCAACAGATTCGGACAAGCTTAGGCATCGGTATGAGTCAAGTGCACAAAATCCTCCACGAACATTTAGCGGTCAGGAAGCTTTGCGCCCGGTGGATACCTCATAATTTGACTGAGGCTCAAAAACTCCATCGTGTGGATTGGTGTCGTAAAATGATTGAAAGATTTAACGGAGGTGACTCAAATGCTGTGTTCGACATACTAACAGGTGACGAAAGCTGGATTTACTGTTATGATCCTAAAACCAAAAGACAATCTGCTCAGTGGGTGTTTCCTTTCGAGGAGTTGCCAACTAAAGTGAAGAGAGATCGAAGTGTGGGAAAAAAAATGGTGGCCTCGTTCTTTGGAAGGATAGGTCATTTTGCAACAATTGTGTTAGAGGATCAAAAAACAGTTTCTGCAGAATGGTACACTACCAATTGTTTGCCACTTGTCTTGGAAAAAGTTCGAGAGAAACGACCTCGCAGTAGGATCCTCCTTCACCACGACAACGCCTCGTCGCACACCGCCAAGCGAACGATCGACTATTTGGCGACATCAAACGTTGAATTACTGGGTCACCCGCCGTATAGCCCCGACCTCGCGCCTTGTGATTTTTATTTATTTCCAAAAATTAAAGAAAAACTTAAAGGAAAGCGGTTTATGAATGCTGAAGAAGCGGTGGCTGCGTATCGCGATGCCATTGAAGAGACCCCTAAGGACGAGTGGGCAAAGTGCTTTTCCCAGTGGTTCCATCGCATGCAGCGGTGTATTGACGTGAATGGACAATATTTTGAAAAGATATAATAAAACTAATAACTGGCTAATGTAATCAGTTTTTGATTTTCTAAGAACTTTCAGTTTGACCCTCGTAGCGTAAGCAGGTCGAAACGATTTTGTATTTTGTGTAATATTACAATTTATTGATATATTAATATATATATTTTGTGATGTTAGTTTGAGCCACGTCACATAATTAGGTTACTTGACACCGATTTTTCAATCAGTTTAATTTAACTTATATTTTTGGCTTGTGTAGTAATAAAAAGTAAGCTGCTGTTAAACGAATAGTTGATGCTCAAAGACAAAAAGTTTTCCCATCGAGTATAGAACAGGTTTGTTAATCTGGTTTTCAAAATATCGTTAACGATTTGTTGTGATGTTTAAACATTTTTAAACGCATTTTAGGAGTTCATTCGTTGGAGCGAATACAAATGTTTAATAATGTTTCAATTTATTCAAAACACGCGTTAAAACTATTTTAAGTCGTTCTATTAAAAGATACTCAACTTTAAAGTATTTTTTAATTACTCACTAAGCATATACCGTTTGATTACCTACTACAAATCCCATCAAATCTATTACCTTATTCGTGTTAATTTATTATTTAGTAAACAATAAAAGATCTAGAAGTTTGATGGAGGTGTGAATCCGTACCGCTGATATTTTATTTAGACACGACTGTCCCAACGACGGCGAATGGTTTCCCAGACAAAATATCACCTGAGGCGTACACAGAATATTCTACAAGGGTGAATAATACCTAGTTCTCCGTGAAATACGCCTTTGCATATGTTGCACTATTTTCGTTTCACTTCTATAAAACACACACAACACCAATTCTTTTAACTCTTTAAATACAGTGCGATACAACAGTGAAATGAAAAGGAATGCAGTGATGGAATATTTAACTAGTGTTGGTGCATTGAAAACAGTGAAAATGTTGGTTCTATCGAATATGTTTCGTGGTCAAAATCAAATTGGACCGAGAGCAGTCGAAGCATTGGCGGTGGACAAAATTAAAAAGGGCGAATTGACAACGCAGAGCTCTTTGAGAATTAAAAACAGGACGAAAACGTACGACGACGTCAGTGCAAAAACTGAGGACGTGAAATCTTCCAGACGAGAAAAGTGTCTCTCGAGCAGTGTAGATGCAATTAGAACACACGATGACATTAAAAATAAAGTGATATGCAGTGCCAAAGGTTTATTAGAAACAAATTTAGATGATCTATTCGACGACGTCGGTGAATGGTCGGAGCCAAAGAGTTTGGGTGCTAGCGAGCCAACGTTGAACTACAACGGGGACAATTTTAGGAATAAGCATGGATCTCTCGTGTCAGAGGATGACAGTGGGGAAGATACGGCTTCTGATAGTGACTGCGTGGACGAGGTGGCTCGCGAGCAGAGGATATGTCTTGGGGCGCGCCGCTTTGGTCATATGCTTCGAAGAGTTATCTCTAGAAATGGTAAGTACTAGCTAGTCACTACAATAGCATATGATCACACAAACTCTGACAAACATAAGAATGTAATCGATACGATATTATCGATGGTATTGTAACTAATAATGTTAAGAGCTTGCTCTATCGATAGAGTCGATCATTGATTGTTTTTAAAGAGTAATTGCCACAATGTATTTCTGTATAATTGTACTTCAATATGCACATGCAATCTTAGAATAACGTGTGTTCTGTTGCTCCTAACGTAGTCGACAAAGTAAGTGTGAGATCCCAGGGCATCCACACTTGCTTTTACAAAACACTTATATGTTAATATGCTTGACTGGTTACGTTATTTTTATTCTGTTATTTAATTCTTCAATCAAAAACCCAATAGTTAGTCGAAAGTAGAAAATATAATTATTTTATTATGATTTTTCTAATCGAAAGTCAAGAGTACAGCTTAGAGATATAATCAGTAGATCAACATTATAGATTTAATTCCTTTCTTATTGTATTGTAAGGTAAAAAATAACGTCATATGAATGTGATTCGAGTAATTTCGTCACCGAATGTTATTGCGATGTTCCGCGTCAGAAGAATAATGATGATTACACCAAACTGTTTTCACTTTTGCTCTTTCTTTGCTAATGTACGATGTCCGAGCGTCACAAATTCGACGTTTATTTCATTCCCTTGTAGGTTGGTTACGTATAAATATAAAAATCTGCTTTTAACTTTCGCTTTGCATTGTAATAAAGACATAAAATTACAATAAATTTTAAAGGGGGCGCCATAGTAGGATATATTTAAAGTTTTAAAAAAATATTCAAACATGATTACTTTCTTTAAATCTAGCGAAGCTATGGCTGGCTCAGGCTTGTAGACATGTCTAGACTACTTCCTTTGGTCAGTTTTTAAGCTTTTGTTTATTTTAACGACTATACCTTACTTTAAGACCTTACCAAGTGCGGCAATTTGGGCAATTCAAAAGTATTTTCAATAAGCTTATATGAATAAAATAATTTTATTTTGTTGGGACTGCAATGAAATCTAATCAATGTAAAAAAAAACCTTAAAAAAAACACAAACGACTTCAAAGTTTGAAATAAGTGATAAATAATACTTGTCCCAAAAGCGACTTTCCTTTCCGCAGGTGAAAGAATTTTTAAAACCGCTCCAGTAGTTTTGGAACCTATTAGTTGCAAACAAACAATCAAAACTTTCCTCTTTATAATTTTACTAGCGGCCGCCAGCGACTTCGTCCGCGATTTCCATTATTTCTTCGCTCCTAATGGTTGCAGCGTGATGTTATATAGCCTAAAGCCTTTCTCGATAAATGGTCTATTCAACATAAATTATTCAATTCGAACCAGTAGTTCCTGAGATTAGCGCGTTCAAACAAACAAACAACAAACTCTTCAGCTAATATTAATTAGTATAGATTATAGATATAAATCTATACAAATAAAAATGTTCAACATAGTGAAAGTCTTAGAAGAAAAGAAGAGTTTATTTGCTCAATATATGTAATTTCTTTCAATATGTCTATACTCTTATTATAAAAGGAAATATTTAATTGCTTGTTTGTTTGCTTTGAATAGGCTCAGAAACTATTGAACTGATTTATAAAAGCTACATAATACGCGTTGGATATAGGCTATAACTTACGCAGGCGAAGTTGGAAGGAAAACCTAGTTTGATACAATTTCGTTCACAATTCAAAAAGAAATGGATTGATATACCTACTTTCATAAAAATATATAAATGCTCGTTGAACATAGAAAATCTTCCTTTCTGATTTTGAATGAACGCAATCTTTTGTTTTTAGCTGAGATTCATGAAATACAATACATATCATCTAAATATTTAGGTGATATATGTTGAAAAACGAATTTTGTTTTGTTATAAAATGTATTATATTGAAAATAGGTCAACAATTGGCAGAAATATCGATGAGCATCATGGCCGTCGAACATAAAACCTCCTTTGTATTTTGAAGTCTATTAAACAGATAAATTGGGATTTATTTGTGCTTCATTTGGAGGTGTTTTAAAATTTAAAGTTATTCAATAAATACGTGAATATCTTTGATATGAAGTACCTATGCAGCGAATTTGAATAACATTGCGTGATTTGGGTTTACCATCAGTTGCTGAGCCGCTGCATAAGCTTATATGCTGTTGACTATACGTTATAAGGTGTGGTATTGATGAAATTGGGTCGACTCTAACTGCCGGTTAACAGAACTATCGTGTTTGATGACACGTAACGCTGTTCTCTTGTTACAGTTGAGCGATTAGTCCACCAATTTCAGGTACCTATGTGTCACAATAAAATATCCAATCTCGCTACAATATTGTATTAAACCTAACTTCGACTTGTACTATATAAAATTTATCACTAACTTGGAGAATTTGTGTTATGTAGTCTCCCGTAAAAGAAATATTTTTTAGCAAATAAACAAAATATTTTTTCCTAGCTTTCACTATGTTGACATATTTTTTATATAGCTATTTAATATAGTGTTACGTATTACCTTTAAAAATATAAAAATATCACTAAAAAGTATGATATATTTTTTTTAAAACATTTTTTTGCGAAATTTATATTTTTTTTTAAAATAATAAGATTTAACAAAGAATGATTTATTATTGAAAAAATAGTTTGTGTGCAATTATGTTCTTTTAACATTTTTTATTTATTTTGGGTTTAGCATCGTGAATACAAAAATTGGTCAAATATAATAATAGTTATTAAACTTTAATAAACTTAAAATAACATTACTGACATAAATTAACATTACTAATAAACTTAAATTAACATTACTGAACTAATCTCCAACAATTAACTATAGTTCTTTGTTCTTATGGTTACTATATTTCATTTATATAACTCCTTGTAGTATGTCTCGAATAAATATTTAAGTAATTTAACCCGTTAACCTTCGTCTGAAGCTCGGTACCACAAATCTTCTATTCTTGGAAACAGTCTGGTAATATTTTCCGCCATTTAAAAAGGAACTGAATATTATCCGTTTATAAATTTATGTAAATTAACATTTATTGCCTTTGAAAATTCATTAGTTGGAGTTAGAGTTAGAGAATACTCTCGGTTGATTTTCTCAGTAAATGATATTAAAAAAAACCAAAAAGGAAAAATTTCCTGAAAAATTCGTCAGTCCTGTTAGGTCCTGGGTAGCTCAGTGATCAGAGCAGTCGCCCGGATTGCGACGTCATGGATTCGAGTCCCATCTCAGAGTTCCAGGGACAAAATAGTTTTTTTAACATTTTTCATTAAGGATATAAAAAAACATTTTCGTAAGTTTAGAATATAGATATTCCTAGGCTGTGGCAATTTTTCAGCTCCACGTTACATATCCTAGAATGTAATCCTATTAGTGCTGTACGTACCGTCGACAACAAAACCAATTTATCATTATATTTATAAAATTTATAGTTTTTTAAATGATACGCACGATGGAGTGTGTTATATTTATTAGGTTTTTTATAAAGTTCTCGTTTTTATCATTTACAATATTTGAAAAATTGAAAAATAATGAAAAAATTCCACCCCGAATTGGTTAAATTAGGGGATGAAAGTTGGTATGAAACTTTTTTACTACAAGTGCTAGTAGTTTCAAATTTTGCATGCGGGTTTTTTTAGGACGAAGGTGCTCTCTAAGGCGTGGTTTTAGGAAATTCGACCCCTGGGGTGTTAATTAAGGGATGAAAGTTTTTATGGAATTTTCTCATCTCTGGACTTAAAATTGGACCACGCGACCGGAGTCGTTGTTCAAAAGCTTATGTATGATAAAACAAATGCCGGCCATATTGTTTCAAATTTCTTTCATAACATCTATTCAGGCAGTTTATGGGTTCATTCGAGCGGAAGTTACACGTTATAATCTGATCCATGATCATTGATCAGACTTCGCAAACGCTATCGATCTGAAAGGCTACAATTTAATATTCGTAAATGTACTAATTTAACATTGACCTCCACAACTAACCGGTCGAGTTGCTAATTACGATACCGAGATGCTTGAATCAGAAATTAATCGAACTAGAGTACAAAACAAGTGCTAAATCAATTTGTGCTCTGACCGATTATAACGAAATTCATCGATTACACCGCGTTATCGGTACCGTTTTGTGTTCTACTTTTGTGTCACTCTCGGAACTGTCATTGATTTAATGATCATCTTGTTCAGTCTCGATATAGTAGGAAGACTTATTTCAGAGATTAGGAACAATGTCAATTTCGGATATTTAATATTTTTGTACCATTTCGAATTTATTACTCATACGAATTAAATAAGCACCTGAGAGCCTTTTCTATTTGTTATCGAACGGCAATTCGGAAAATTACGGTGTTTCGGTTAAATAGTATCCTATACGTGTCAAGTACTGTTAACATTAACAAATATATTGTGCTTCATTTTAGATAACTTAAATTTAAAACTGCTACTAAAAAATTAAGGTATCATTCTCACACTTACAACTAACAAGGGGCCACCCATAAATTACGTCACACAAAATTCAGGATTTTTAACCTCCCCCCCCCCCCCCTTTTGTCACCTATTTATCTATATAAATTCCACTAAATATTGTGCTGACGTCACAGTTAGTCAACCCCCCCCCCTTCCTAAAGTGTGACGTACTTTATGGATGACCCCCAATTTATAGACATCTGTGTTCTGAAATAAACCGATTACTATTGTTATTTTAATTTTAATTAAATAATGATTTTTAATTTCATGTATATAAACGTATAATGTACGTGTTATATATTATAAAAGTACGAATATATATTTGACGACCTCCGTAGCCGAGTGGTGCGCACGCCGATTTCAAGGTGTTGCCATCTCTGAGGTCCCGTGTTAGATTCCCGGTCGGGTCAATGTAGAAAATGACTTTTTCTATATTGTCCGAGACAATCTGGGTGTTGTGATACCGTCTTTGTCTCAGATACTTCCTATTACGGGGTTTTAGCTACTCATCTTGGTATCTGAGCAATGTATGTGA